TCTTTAATAACAACCATTATCTTTTGCTTCCTGGATCCTGGACTCTGTTTTGAAACATTTATTGTTGACAGGAATATTTGTCAAGAGATGCCTGCGGTGTAGGCATAGGGGTGATATATATATTTTTTTACAGCAGAAGTTCCAAACATTTATCTCAGTCAGAGAGTCTGAATCCGTTGAAGTGCTTAAAAAGGAGTGTGCTTTTTGGTGTTTGAATTAAATGGTAATTTTCTTCATTTCAGTATGAGTATTGAGTAGGTGGTGGCCTTATTAAATCAAAATTTCACTTTAACTAGAATATCACTGTTAGAACTGGAAAAGATCTGGCTAAGAATCTGCTTCATTGAAACAGAACCTTTTTGTTTGTTTGTTTTTTGTTTTGATTTGTTTGCATTGTTCTTTTATTTATTTATTTATTTATTTATTTATTTATTTAGAGTCATTGACTAACATTTCTTTATTGTCTAATTTTATATGCATGTTTCATTTATGTATGTATTTCTATCCATCCATCCATCCATATTTACTAGAATAACACTGTTAGAACTGGAAAAGATCTTGCTAAGAATCTGTTTCTTTGAAACATAACTTCTTTGTTTGTTTGTTTTTTTGTTGTTGTGTTTGTTTTCATTTTGTTTTTTGTAATATTTTTGTAATGAGGTGGTTTCTAGTTTTTGTTTGTTTGTTTGTTTGTTTAGGTTCTGTTTGACATTTTTTGTGTAGGTTGTTGACTAAAATTATTTTTTTTTCCTAATTTTATATGCATATGTTTCCAAAATTAATTTTGTTTGAAATTTAATTGTTTGTTTATATCTATCTGTTTATTTTCATTTAACTGAACTTTTTATTTCAGGATGAGTTGGTGATGGCCTTATTAAATCAACATTTTAACTTTAGAACATAACTTTTAGAAGTAGACAATAGGCCTGGGTGATAAAACGGTATCGATATTTATCGACGGTACACCTTCTTCGATAACGATATAAAAAATGTTCGATATAGTGCACGATATAGGCACATGCTATGAGTGACGCAGACTGCACACACAAACACGAACACATGCTGAATTGAGTGCAGTGCCTGCCTGTGATGAGGAGATTGTGAATAAAAAATAATAATATTAGTCGAATTTAAAATAAACATTTGCATTTGAATGCAAAAATAGTACAATCCAATGTTAGATGTGCGTCAGGGAGCGTCATCAGTGGAGCACAAGATGCGGTGATGTAAGTGACGTTGTAGTTTAATGTTTTGTTAGTCTAGCCCACGAGACGCGACAGCAGGATGGCAATGATAAACACTATAGCTGTGAAAATGTCTACAGCTCTCCCCAAATACTTTTCCATTCTTCTTTATATCCAAAAGCTGTCCACAGCTTTTCTGTCTACATTAACCTGAGGTAACTCAAGACCAGAATCCACTTTAACCTACTTCTGTCCATCCTTATACCCACATGCTGACATTTGAGTGAGATGGTCACAGGCCATTTTATAGCATGTTATTTTTTACCCTGTTTAATGTTAGCCAAGGTGTATTGGAATAATAATATGAGATTTCTCTCTGTGACCTCTCTGTGATGCTTCAAGTTAAACAGGCTGTTTTGGGTACTGTACCTTTAAGATCTCAACATGTAAATGACCTCTGTTGTGATTGGCTAATCTCTATGTACACCGTTAGAGCATGCAGAACATTAGAGTAAACATACAATGTGCATCAAATGCTATTATTTAAAAAAAAGTAAGGAAAATCCTAGTTTGCAGTAGGTCTGGGTGATAAAACGGTATCGATATTTATCGACGGTACACCTTCTTCGATAACGATATAAAAAATGTTCGATATAGGAGCACAATATAGGCACGTGCCTTGAGTGACGCAGAACAGCACACACAAACAGGAACAGATGCTGAATTGAGCGCTGTGCCTGCCTGTGATGAGAAGTTTGTGAATAAAAAAATTAATATTAGTCGAGTTTAAAATAAACATTTGCATTTGAATGTTAGGAGTGCGTCAGGGAGTGTCATCAGTGGCGCACGAGATGCGGTGATGATGTAAGTGACGTTGCATTTTAATGTTTTGTCAGTCTAGCCCACGAGATGCGCCGCTGCTGTGTTATGCATTCAAAATATTAGAGAAATATAGAAGCTCAATGCGGAGAAGGTCTTGATTAGTTGAAAACCGAAACAAAGCCATTCACACAGATGCATATTCAGTGCATTTTTAGACAAATATGACTGCTGCACTCGCGTCTCACACAAGAACCATGCAAAGTTAAAACAGTTTAAACTTTTAGAAAACACGTCGCAAACTTGTGGAGGTTTATTCCTTTTCACTGCGTCTCTTATGTTTTTAAATGTAATCTCCGTATTGGGCGATTCGGCTCTTTTTCT